TATCAAAATGGGCGAGAGAACTTCGGTGCTCTCAACCTAGACTTCAAACCAAAAACAACAATCAAATCTCAAGCATTATCCGACTTCATTCTTTGAATGGATGAATCATCAAAAGAACCCGAACCAATACTTGATCATTAGAAAATGTATTTTGACGGTTCCCTAAAGTTAGGAGGAGCTGGAGCAGAGTACTATTCATATCACCGTAAGGGAGACAGTTAAAATATGTGTTACAAATACTTTGGCGAGCAACTAACAATGAGGCGAATCTCTGAAGCATTAATACACGGTCTAAGAGTTGCAAGCTCGCTTGGGATCAAAAGACTACTTGTGTACGGTGATTCAGCTGTAGTAATCAATCAAGTCAACAAGGATTGGGATTGTACAAAAGATGATATGGATGCGTACTGTGCAGAAGTCAGAAAATTGGAGAAAAATTTCCAAGGGCCCGAAATCCATCATGTACTAAGAGATTCCAACGTTGCAGCAGATGTGCTAGCCAAATTAGGGTCAGATAGAGCAAAAGTACCACCCGGTATATTTGTGGAAGAACTCACAACCCCATCCATCAAACAACTCAGAAACACAAAAAAGGGAAGGAGACAACAAATCCGATGGAAATAGATCGAGCAGAAGAACCAGACCAGTCAAGACAAATCATGGTCATACAAAGTGATTGGAGACAAACATACATTGATTTTATCAAAGAGAAGAAACTACCCGAAGACAAAGCAGAAGCAACTCGGGTTGTATGAAGAAGCAAAAACTATGTTCTGGTGGGGGATAAACTATACAAAAGAGCAACATCATCAGGAGTACTGCTTAAATGTGTTCCGACAAATAAAGGAAAGGAAATCTTGGACGAAATCCACTCAGGATGCTGTGGAAATCATGCAGCCACTAGGACACTAGTCGGCAAAGCATTCAGAACCGGTTTCTATTGGCCAACATCACTCAAAGATGCAGAAGAGCTCGTCAGAACATGCAAGAATTGCCAAATGTTTGCTAGGCAATCACATGTGCCGGCTCACAACTTAATATGCATACCGCTGGCTTGGCCGTTCTCATGCTGGGGGCTAGATCAAGTTGGACCACTCAAAAAAGCAAAAGGAGGCTTCGAATACATATTTGTGGCAATCGATAAATTTACAAAGTGGATTGAATACAAACCTTTGGTCAAATACAGTGCAGAAAAGGCAGTGGAATTCATACAAGACATCATGCATAGGTTCAGCATGCCCAACAAAATAATCACAGATCTTGGTTCACCATTTACAGCAAGAGAATTCCAATACTGGGCAAGAGATTGTGGGATAGAAATCGACTTTGCATCAATAGCACACCCGCAGGCCAATGGACAAGTCAAAAGAGCAAATGGACTCATATTACAAGGTTTAAAACCAAGATTATATGAAGATTTGAAAGATTATGGTAGAAAATGGATCGACGAATTACCAAAAGTGGTATGGGGTCTAAGAACCCAGATCAGCAGAGCAACTGGATACTCACCGTTCTTTCTGGTCTACGGATCAGAGGCGGTACTACCAGCCGACTTAATATGGCCATCTCCAAGAATAGAACAATATGAAGAAGGCGAAGCAGAAGAAATAGGGCGATTAGAAATTGATTCAATAGAAGAAATAAGAGACAGTGCAATCATACAAAATGCAAGATATCAGAAAGGGTTACGAAGACATTATGACAAAAGTACTCAACCCCGATCGCTAAAGCCAGGGGACTCAGTACTACGACTAATCCAGAAGAAAGATGCACGACACAAACTACTCAGTCCATGGGAAGGACCCTTCATTGTGAAGACAACAATAGGACCCGGCACATACGAGTTGATGATTCTAGATGAAATACCTATAAAGAACACTTGGCATATCAGCCAGCTCAAAAGATTCTATAATTAAGTACAACAGATTGTACTCAAGTTTCAAGAAAAATAAAACAGAGATTATTCAAGAAGAACAGCTTCAAATATGAGCCCTGTCCAAAGGACAGAACCAACCCATAATCAGGTTGGGGAAAAAGGGGCTTCCCTGTTAACAGCCAACCTGGAAACGGTTGCGCTACATGGGCAATCTTGTCACTCAACCATATGGAGATGGTCTGACTGACGGCCAACGGCCAAATAGCTTCTTGGGTAAGGAGACCCAAGCTAGCATTTGTCACTCTACCATAAAGAGATGGTACGACTGATAGCCCTGTCCAACGGATAGAACCAACCCATAATCAGGTTGGGGAAAAAGGGGTAGCCCTGCAAACAGCTCAACCCGGAAACGATTGTTGCTATACGGGCTCAATCGCTTACCCCAAGAGCTGGTACGATTGCTTACTTACCCTACAAACAGCCAACCCGAAAACGGTTGTGCTATATGGGTCCGGTCGCCTACCCCAAGAGTGGTACGATCGAATACTTCACCCAAGAAGCGGCACAAGCACTCCAACAACTCAGTCGCCTACCCCAAGAGTGGTACGATCGACTACTTCTCCCAAGAAATGGCACAAGCACTTCAACAACTCGGTCGCCTACCCCAAGAGTGGTACGATCGACTACTTCGCCCAAGAAGCGGCACAAGCACTCCAACAGCTCGGTCGCCTACCCCAAGAGTAGTATGATCAACTACTTTGCCCAGAGAGGGACACAATCACTCCAACAACTCGATCGCCTACCACAAGAGCGGTACGATCGACTACTTCGACCAGAGAAGAGCACAAGCACTCCAACAACTCGGTCGCCCACCCCAAGAGTGGTATGATCGAATACTTCGCCCAAGGAGCGGCACAAACACTCCAACAACTCAGTCGCCTACAACAAGAGCGGTACGATCGACTACGTCGAGGGCCTGAACCAGTATAGATCGTGAGTCTCTTTGCGTAACCGCTAAATTCCGCTATTCGTCAAAGCCCGAACAACTGTCCCGGGTACCCCCGTGGTAGGCTATCGGTGATAAAACATCGACACTCCCCCACACGGCGTCGCCTCCGCCTTCAGCCACCATCGCCACCCTCCCCGCACGGCCGTTGCCCTGATCTAGATCTAGATCTACCTAGAGGTGATAGGGTTGCGGTGGCGGCCAATAACGAGCACGCAACCAAAGGCGATTGGAGCGTGGTGGTGGCCGAGAATGAGCCCGCAACTGGTGGCGGCCGAGAACGAGCACGCGGCCAGAGGTGCATGCAGCGGCAGGCTACATCTTCTGCGATGCACGACCTAGGGCGACAAACTACAAAAGGTGACTTTGCTACTAGCTACCGGTACCATTAGGTCAAATTGTGTTAGCATCATTGTTTTAGTATCGTTTGTTAACATGAAACTTCATATTTTCTTGGTATAAATTATTATCTTTACAAGGTTTTCTTAAGGAACAACGTCAGCTAGTTTCCTGTAATTGAGTTGCACGTGACTTTGCTTGATGAGTGGCTGCTGAACCTGGACATGACTATGTATTTTTGCAGATAACATGTCGTGTCCCTTTGACGGTGTGAATTTGGAAATCTAGTTTTTCTTGTTTAGCATATATTACAAGCTATTTTGCGCTCCCCCCCGCCATAGCTTCTATTATGCACATGTGACATAGACCTACAGTGTAAGATCCGTATAGTAAATCAATTTGGACAGGTGGTCTTGTTTTGTGGTCTACTTTTGCTTGTTCAAAGTGCCTTCTCGCTGTCCAGTGGTTCACATTTATAGATATATATAAGCTATCTCAATGCTCCCTGCTTCCATTTAGTCGGTTAATTTTGATAGGGTGCTTTGATTTTAAGATCTAATTCTATGCTTTACAAGTTCACTTCGCAGTAATGTAAATGAGGTATCTCATTGACAAATAGTTCCTCAGTTACTTTGCTTACAGAAAATATATCCCAAAAGTTTTAGTTCAGTGCAGAGTGCAGACAACATTGAGCCCCTGGTTTAGACCTGCATGACAACTCTATCCTCAAAGATGTAAGTCATAATAAATCTTCTGTTTAATCAGTCAGCCTTTGTGATGCAGATTTTTACATTTCATTTATGTCCTTTAGTAATTCCTACATCTATGGTTAATAAGTTTAGCTTTTCAGTGGCTACGGAACTTGGACATGACTATGCATTTTTGCAGATAACATGTGGTGTCCCTTTGCTACAAGTAGTGCAACTACTGCAGCTGCCCTTAAGCAAGTATGTCATGTGAGCTTTGCTGAATTATTACTGCTTGTTATGAGCTTGGTTGTGAATTGATATTTAGATTCTCATGCTCTACTTGTTGGGCTCTCAAAAAATATATGCATTGAACTATAGTAGGTAACTAGTATCAAAACTTCCCAATAAATAGATGCATTTCTTTCTAGAATCATAGCTGAAAGCTGACTTATCTTATATCATGCGAGACAAGGAGTTTATCCCGTGGTTCAGCTCACCATTAAGGTTTGTCTACCTCCACGTTGTTGAGGAAACCACAAAGGTTTGGGTTTTCACCCTTATCCTCTTCTCAAGTCCAGAGAACAAGTCTCTTGAGATGAGAGCCGCTTACTATGAAGTTGGTGATGATTACAAACGTCCTAGGGCTGCCACAACAGTTGGCAACCACTCCGGCGACGCCTAGCCGGCTAGGAGCAAGTTTCAAGAGTAACAAACACAATCCATCGGTTAGGATGGCGAGCAACTTTCTATTTTCCTTTCTTTTTTTTAACCCCAGTTGGCTGGCCTAGATCGGATGGATGGACGGGGGTGAAATAGAAGCAGGGGAGGAAAAGAGAATGTGCTAGCAGCATGCAAAGTGCTCTAAGAACTTTGCGCAGCGCGGCAGCCGGGTACGGACCCCAGCGTTTGTCCCCTAGCACGTACAGTCAGCGGCAACACCACGCGCGCACCAAATCAAGAAACGCCTCTCCCTTCCTCTCGACCCTTCCTCTGCTACAGTTGAGAAAGGGCAAAAAGAAGGCAAGCCATTTTCGGCATCGTTCCCCTCCGTCCCCCCTCCCCTCCGGTGGTCATTTTGGCGTCGGAGAGGATGGGGGAGCGGGGGTTCAGGCGGCCGATGTATATAGCTTTTCCTTGCCCACCGGTGGAGTCATCGCCGGCAGTGGCTGTGGTGTTGCCTGGCTTCTTCGTCGTGGAGGAGTTGAGGCGTGGATGCTTTGTCTGCGTTAGCGTCTATGATGTGGAGGAGCTAAGGTATGTCTTCCCTAGCAACGATTGCTTGGTGGAGGTGTCGTTGCTGTTGGGGAATAATACCCTCCGGCTAGGGTTCCACTTCACCGGCGAGCGCTTCATTGCTGGTGACGAGTGTGTGAGGCCAGAATCTTCTAGATCTGGAAGATTAGCCGGTGTTTTGCTTTCTCTGGATCTCGTGGGTTCCGGTGTAGGAGTCCGCTGCTTGGTGCCTCGGTCAGGAATGGTGGAGGTGCTGGCAGCTCGATGCAGAGAGATGGCTGGTGGGTTTGTGGTCTTCTGGTGGATGGATATGTGCTTTGGTGTCGTTGATTGTGGGCGACGTGCATTGGTCCTTGGTCAGGGGAGCATGGGGTGCGTCCTCGGCCGATGTTCCTTCATGGATGTGTTCTACTGTGGCTCGAGTCAAAGCCTTGGTGCGATGGTGCTTCCTCTGGCCGTGATGTTGCCGTTCTCTCCCAACTCCGGCGGTGGCTTCGGTGACGACGGAGGTGGACGACGAGCGGTGTCGACAGTAAGCATGGGCTGAAGAAGTTGGGCTCCCATATGGGCCATTGCAACATTGTCACATGGGGGTCGATGGGGGGTATGGGTAAGGCCAGAGAACGAGGCGGTCGTTTAGTCCCACCTCGTTGCTGCAGAAAGTCTCTGCTCAACTTATAAGCGAAGTGGTGGTCCCGACGCCATGTTCTTAGAAAGCATAGACGGTTGGCATCTCCCCTAACAGGGACTGGATTAGTCTGGTTGTGGTTAAGGCTGCCTCTTTTTTTCACTTTGGCCCTTTATTCTTTTCCATTTTGCACCTGAGTTAGCTCGCCTTCTGTTGTTCTTTGTTCATTTTTTTGCCTTTGGTCCCCTGTTCTTTTTCATTTTGCACTTTAGCCAGCTCGCTCTGTTCTTCTTTTTCACTTTGGCCCTTTCTTTTTCTCCATTTTGCACCTGAGTTAGCTCGCCCCCTGTTCTTGTTCTTCATCTTTTTTGCCCTTTGGTCCCATGTTGTTGTTCATTTTGCACGAGCGTCAGCTCGCAGCTGTACTCCTCTGTTTGTTCCGCTGTCCGTATCAATGTAAAAGTGATTTTCTAGCTAAAGAGAGCCTTGAACGGAATCGATGTAAAAGAGAGCCTAATTTCAATTTCAACCCCTGATTTGTGATATCGTGCAACTCTGCTGCAGTGTGGAGCTGATCCAAATGCGACCGCCAGGGTGCTTCTTCGTTCGCTCAAGCCATCCCTGCATGCCAACGTCGACTGCACGGCGCTCTTCGCCGCAATCGTGAGTCGGCAAGTCGCAGTGGTCGGTCATCTACTTTAGGTGCGCATCATTTGAACTGCAGCCACACATGCACTTACTCTTCAGTCTTCAATTGACGCTTGACACGCCATCTCCCCGCTCATGTCCAGGCCGGCGTCAAGAGGGACACGAAGGTGCGGCTGGGCGCGTGGTCATGGGACACAGCCACCGGCGAGGAGCTCCGCGTGGGCGCCGGGCTCGCCGAACCCTATGACGCCGTCTGGTGCGCCGTGGAGTACTACGAGGCCACGGGCTCCATCCTGTGCATGCTCTTCCAGAACGGGTACACGGTGAGCGGTGCGCACCTCGGCCGGACGCTCGTCCACCACGCCATCCTCAGCGGCAGCGCCGGCGCCGTACATACCTTGCTGGTGTCTGGCGCGGACTCCGAGGCTCCCGTGAAGACCTCCAGGAGCAGCAGGTCCAGGGCGGTTCACCTGGCCGCGCGGCTCGGCCAGCCGGAGATCCTGCAGACTTTGCTTGACAAGGGCTGCGACATGAACATAAGGGCGGACGCCGGCGACAGTGCGGCCATCCTCTGTTCGCGCCACAAACGAGAGGACTGCCTGAGAGTTCTCGTGACCGCCGGAGCTGATGTCGCGCTGTTGAACTCGGCAGGCGAGTCCCCGGCTTCTGTCGCTTCTTCAGGTGGATGGAACAGCGGCTTCGAACGTGCTGTTCTTGGTGCGATTCGGTCCGGGACCATCCCAAGTTCGAGCGATCGGAACATGTTCTCGCCACTGACGTTCGCCGCGCGGTGTGGTGACGCGGCGGCCATGGAAGTGCTGCTCGCTCAGCCGGGCGTGGATGTGGATGAGCAGGACTTGGACGGGTGCTCGCCCATAATGGCTGCCGCCAAGGTGGGCAACGTCGAGGCCTTCCGTGCCCTCGTATTCGCCGGCGCCAACGTGAAGCTGAGCAACAAGCGCGGTGAGACGGCCATTGGGCTGGCGCAGCAGAGCAAGAAGAGGGACTTCTTCGAGCAGGTCATGCTCGAGTTCGCGCAGGAGAAGGGCATGCCAGAGGGATTCTACGCGCTGCACTGCGCGTCCCGACGCGGCGACACAGCGGCGGTGCGGCACCTGGCGAGCACGGGCTGCGACGCCAACATCCCCGACGGCGACGGGCACACCCCGCTGATGCTTGCGGCCAGGGAAGGCCACGCGGGCGTGTGCGAGCTCCTCATCTCCTACGGCGCCCGCTGCGACCTCCAGACGCCTCGCGGCGAGACGACGCTCTCCCTGGCGCGGGCGGCGCTGGCCACGGTGGCGTTCAACATGGCCGAGGATGTGATCATGGATGAGCTGGGCCGGCAGGCGGTCCTCCAGGGCGCGCGCGTCCGGAAGCACACCAAGGGCGGGCGCGGGAGGCCCCACGGCAAGCCGCTGCGGATGGTGGCCGCGGCGGGCGTGCTGCGGTGGGGCGGGTCGAGCCGGCGTAACGTGATCTGCAGGGAGGCCGAGGTCGGGGGCAGCTCGGCGTTCCAGCGACACAGGCAGAGGAAGGGCGACGCGTACGAGCATGGGCTGTTCCGCGTCGTGACGGCGACGGGGAGGAGATTCTTCTGGGGGGGCTGTACATGCCGGCTTTTCTGTGCATTGCTTGCGTTGCCGTGAAAACATCTAGGAATGTGTGTTGCCGTAAAAAATCTAGTAATGTGTGTGTCTGCGGAAAAAAAGTTCAAATGCCTCTTGACCTGACTCGCTTTAACTTTTTGTAACTTTTGCTGCCACTACCCACTTGTCAATTTGAGCTCTAATACCGTCAAACTACAGGTGTGAAAAGTCAAAAATACCCTTAAGTTCAAATATGTCATTAATTTTTTTAACATCTTAACGACTTCAAATAAAAAAACTCAAAACTAGAAAGTTGTAGATCTCGTCGAGATCTATAATTTTCATATAAAAATTATCTTCATTTAATTCAACAAAAAAATATGATTTGATATGATTAATATATCTTAGAAAAATCATATCTTTTTTTTTGGAATTAAATGAAGATATTTTTTATATGAAAATTATAGATCTCGACGAGATCTACAACTTTCTAGTTTTGAGTTTTTTTTATTTGAAGTCGTTAAGATGCTCAAAAAAATTAATGACATATTTAAACTTAAGGGTATTTTCGACTTTTCACTCCTTGCAGCTTGATTACAAGGCGTTCAAAAACCGACGGCGAAGTGGCATGGAGGGGGCACAAAAAGTTGAAGCGATGACGATGCTGAGACAAATAAACTTTTTCAGAGGCACACAGGGCATTGCGATCTTTTTTAATGGCACACAAGAAATTCCCCCAAACATCTAAGGTTGTCTGCTTGTGATATCTCCCAAAACTCCTAGTAATAAAATTTGAGTGCATTTATTTTTAATAAGGACAAATTCATGTTAGTATGATTTGGAGTTCTTTTGTCTTTGTTTGAGTTCTTTGAGTGTGATGGATTTGAATTCTAAATTCAAATAAGAATCTTAAGCTAACTCACTAATTCCCCCTACTGACTTGGGCACTAACCCGGCTAACTAAGCTAACCTAACCTTAAGCCCACCTTGCTAACTTCCCTAAACAAACAGGCCTACGTAACCTATCCTAACTGGCCTGCTAATCAACTAACCCCTCGGCCTACTAATTTGCTAACCCACTAATTAGCAACCGGACCTGGGCCTTGTTTAGCCTTCAAAATTCTAAGTTTTTTCGCTCTCTCTCCATCACATCAATTTTTAGCCATTTGTATGGAGCATTAAATGTAGGTAAAAAAAATAACTAATTGCACAGTTTAGTTGGAAATCACGAGATGAATCTTTTGAGCTTAGTTGGTCCATGATTGGACAATATTTATCAAATAAGACGAAAGTGCTACTATTCATCGGTTTGAAATTTTTTTCAATCTAAACAAGGCCCTGTTTTAAAATTCCTAACCAGGCCTTTGTCCTGCTAACCTGGCCGCAAGGCCCAGCTCGATCGGCCAACCCAGCCCGCTGCCCTGTGCCTCTTTCCTCTTCTCCCCGCGGCTCGTGCAGGCGCGCCGCACGCGAGCAGCGACAGCGACAGCGACGCCGCTGCCCCGCCACCGCCCTGCGCGACCCCGCGGATGCGCGCCGCGTGCCCCTGGGTACGGACGCCGAGGATCTCCGCCGTTCGCGCGCGCCTCCCCGTGAACCCTAGCCCGCGCCGCGCCCACAAATCCCCTGGCCGCCGCCTCCCCTGTCTGAACCCGATTGGGGTTTTTACCCTGCTTGCTCAAGCCGCCGCCGCTGCGCCTGGAGGAGAGGAAGGAGAGGGAGCAGAGAAGGAAGAAGAGGACGTGAAGCCAGTGCCGCCGCCCGGGAGCCCCGCTTTTCTGCTCCGCGCTGCCGTCATCGCCCGTCCCCGCGGCGCTGAACCGCAGGCTCGCCATCGCCGCCCAGGTGCTGCCGCTGCGCCGTCCACCTCGAGCCACTGCCGACCAGGAGCTTCACCGCCGCTCGAAGCCCGTACCGCGAGCTCAAGTTGGACCGCAAGCCTACCCCGTGCGACGACCCCGAGCCGCTGCCGTCCCACCCGCTCTGCACCGTGCCCTCGCTGCTCCGACTCGCCACCGCGTCGGGCCGTCGTCCTCGAGCCCGCTGGTGAGCAGAACCGCAAGGCCCGACCTTTGCCCCATCCCTCGTGTGACCGGCCGTCGAGCCGTTGCTGCCGGCCTGTGGCCAAAGAACCCTCCCTGTGTGCCGGCCTTCGAGCCGAGTTCTTCTTGCAGGAGCCTTCGGTGCCTAGAGCATTACTGGACGCCCATGCCCAAACTGAGCCACAGATCCGCCCCGCCTCCTACGTGATCGATGAAATGCCTAAGTCCTTCGGGCATGTCTGCCCAGCCCCGCTCTGCGCCGCTCGCCATCGCCTCTGTGTACCGGCCTTCGTGCCGAGGTTTTCTTGCAGGTGCCGCCCACCGTCTTGCCGCTAGCCCTTGCCGTGGACGGAGAACGCTCCGCGCCCACGAGCTGCAGCCCAGCCGCCCCATCCTGTACCTCGCTGCTGCCTCTAACCCAGCGTCGGCCTCGCCGCGGACACAGGCTGCTGTTGCCCCGCGCGCAAGCCGGCCAAACCCCATCTGTGCCGCTGCTCTTAGCCCCTACGCCCCAGCTGCCGGTTGGCGAAGTCCGATTGGGCAAGACGTCGAGCACCCTGTGTGCACCTGCGGCCACATCCTACCGTCCAACCAGTTGCCATACCTTGTCCAAGACATGGTTTAAGAAGCAACTTAGCCCACCTACGTGCTTAGCTTCTACCCTGTTTTGATCTGATCAACAACGCTGCAGCACTATGCAAGAAGCTAGCAATCGTGAGGCCAATTTGTGATTGGTTTCATAGCACGAATGTGCTTGAGCTCGTGCACGTAAGCTGGCTGCAGTTTTGCCGTAGCCCTTCGGCCATGCTCCCAGACTCTGCTGCCCCGCACCTTAAAACCAGAGAAAATGCTCCGTTGTTGCCCTCGCTGCAGCATTGAGCCCCTTGCCCATGTCGCGGCCATGGTAAACCATGTGCCCGCGCTCCAACAACCCAAGCTGCGCCTTTGTCCTTTAAACCCGAACCCAAAGGCGATACCTTTCGTCGCCCTCGCCTTGCTGTCTTGTGTGAAACCCTCAAGCGGTGACCTTTCTTGGTCCATAACCGCTTCGGTCAACCTTCGCCACTACCTAGCCTGCTCCCGACCAGCCAAAGCTTGGCCGCAGTCGGCCATAGTTGGGCGCCGCCTGGCCAACGCTGGCCATAGCCTAGCCATGACTCGGCCATAACCGACCTAGCCCAAGGGCATATCGGAGACCACCCGGACTTGTGTGCAAGTCGCCGCAAAGGATCTGGGCCAAGCCGCAAGACGAGTTATCTTGCTAGTCGACCTGTAAACCCTTAAGTCAGGTTAGCCCAGTATCGACCCACAAATAGCCCGTCTGGGCCCACTAACATGTGGGGCCCACATACTAACATGTGGGTCCACTGATTTGACTATCTGGGCCACTAACACTACGGGTCCCACATGATGACATGTGGACCCACTGACCTAGTACGCCCTAGCCATCTGACCAATAGGACCCATACGATGACGTGTGGGGCCTACTAACTTGTTTGCTAACTTAGTCGCTGACTTGGCCACTAACCAGCTTTGATCGCTAACTTGACCCGTCGTCCGGATCTTGGCCCATTGACCCGTTGACTAGTCAACACTGGTTGTTGACTTGGTCAACCCTGACGTCAGCAGGGCCCACTACTGATGTCGGCTACTGACCCCACGTGATGACATCATGATGATGTTAGCACGACTAACTAGGGCCTGGCACATGGCGCATTTTGGTGTCGCCACATGCCAGCTTGTTTTCTTTTCCTTTTTATGAAATTAATAAAAATCTAGAAAAGATTTTATTAATTAAAAATCATATAAAATCAACCGTAGCTTAGAAAAATATGAAACCAGTTTCAATAATTTTCTAAAAACATGAACTACCCGTTAGAGGTTATTTGGCTCTTATTGCTTCTTTTTGGAGTTTATTTGTATTAGATGCCGTTGTTTATTTATGCATACGTGTGCTAGGATCCGAGGAAGATATAGAAGATTTTGTCAACTTCAACTTGGACTTCGGCGAATGAAGACTTGTAAGACTACGTCAAGATAAATTTGGATCGCAAAGTCACAGGTGTCCACGCCCATCCCATTCTCCAAATCCTATTAGACATTGCAACTAGTATGCTAGCGCTTTATTTCCTGCATAGCCTTATTTTATATGTGTTATCCTATATCTGTTATCCTTGCTAGCCCGTTACATGATATGCTAGGCGATGCTTGCATGTGTGATGGGGATTTGTGACTAGGATTCTTGGCGTGTGTTGGGGTAAAACTAGGAAAGGAGAAGGGGTTTTGGGTATTCTTGCGGGGGTGAGCAAATTAACTCGATCTTCGTATCGAGGGCTTGGTGTGTGCGCTCGGACACATCCTCCGGAGTACCTGTGGCGGGTACATGTGACTTGTGATACCATGAGGAGTTGGCGGCAATAACTGTAATGGGTGTGGTTTGCGGACCACTAGAGGTGGATACGGTTGAGTAAGATGATGCTCACCTCGGCACTAAATACCAAGTTGGTTAGACGTGGGGCATGGACTTTGTGTCAGGTACCAAGACCACGGGTACCCCACAAAAAGGGCAAAAGGTTCCCAGACGGCCTTTTGCCGTAGAAAGCGGCCCAGCCCGCTGAAGGCCCACCACAAAGGGGTCGGCTCCGAGCGCCCCCTTTCACAAGGCCTAGACCTGACCTCTAGAGGTTGGCTCCGACCCATCGCTCACAAGAGACAATGCGTCGACCCCGCCCAACGGGTCGGGTTGACTCCAATAATTAGAGTCGACCATGCCGACCCAAACGCCCGTAGCCCTGAAGACGACAAAATGCACAACCCATCGCCGTACGATGGGCAGGAGGATGATCGACAACCATCTCGCCTAAAAAACCGCGCATAGTATGCCGTCCATCGGTGTGGTGCAGGGTATGGGAGGCCCTATGTCAACTGCCCTCGAAAGACGTTGCCACAATGAGCATTGCACCTACCAGCATGGGGAAGTACACGCCTGTACTCCCCGGAGCCTCCCCGACTTCCCCTCGCCTAGAGGAAAGGGGGGCTGCTCGTTCCCGACCCACCTGAGTTAGTCGGAAGACCTATTCCGGACTGGAGAACCACTGGCCAATCTTCACTCATGATGTGACACATTCATGCCCCCGCGAGCATGGCTATAGCTCCCGGAACAACACAACTCCGGGAATGATGCACCTCTCAATCACCTCGACTGACCTAGGGCGCCCGACCTACCCACGTCAAGCACCCGCAACAGTTGGTTAGACGAGGCCCCCTCCTTTTTTCTTTTGTAATGCCCCTCCCCAAAGTATAAAGGGTAGGAGCTTTATTGCTTACAGAGAGAGAACTTCATTTTTTTTCACCCGACAAGGGCTTTTCACGTTTGTAGCAAGTGCCCCTCTTGTAACACCACTAGGAGTTCAAGCTCGAGGATCATGACCACAGTACGAACTGGACATAGGGCGCGTGCCAAACCAGTATAATCCTTTGAGTCTTGTGCCCCCACCATCGAGAGCTTGAGACCGCAGCGTATAATCACTAGTCGGAGGAAAGAAACGCCGACAGTTGGCGTGCAGTAGTAGGGCTGTTGCGCGTTTTCACTGCTGATGCCCTCGATGGCTTTTTTCGTCCCTGGCCTCGACGACCACCTCTCGCAGGACAGTTTTTGCTTTGGAAGCCTCGATTTTGTAACTTTACCGGGCGGAGTCGCCCGCCTGGTCCTTACTTTTGTTCCTGGACAAACGATATGTCTGGGAAGTCTGGATTTTGTAGCCGACTAGTTAGGACGCCTTCGCTTCGCCGATGAGGAGGATGCCCCATTGGCACCGCGGTTGCCGACCCCTCCAGCACAGGGGCCAACTCCTTTAGCCCTCGACTCCGAGGTGCTCGTACACCGGATAGAGGCCTACCTTGGGCCGTGCCCCACCCCCCATGACACGCAGAGCATCTTCCATGCGGTGGCAAGCACCATGGCCCAACTCGTGGGCGAGGATCCGCTTCCCCTAGAGCCCGAGTTCCGGCACCCAGGGACGGCCTACCGTACGGATTGAGGGACGCAACATGTTGCTTTCAGCAAGAGTTGCATTGCGCCTTGTCCACCCCTCCCATGGACTCGGAGTTCGTGGGCACGGCGAAACACGCCCCGGCATCGCTCCACGACATACTAGCGTACTCTACTGTTGACACCAGTTCCAAAGCAGGGTATGAGGGGAGTCACGACCCCTCTCAGGAATGCTACATGGCTAACATCCGGGACGCGGGGACCCTCGACCCGACGCGCGGGATGCAGCCCCCTCCCGTTCAGCGCACCCCTGAGGAGCAGGAAGCATACCTCCAAGAGAAAGCTCAATGCCTCTGGGCTAAAGCCATAGATCCAGAGAAGAAACAAGCACAACTCGAGCGGGAGCAAGCAGGCCTCGGGCAACGACCAGAAACTCGTCTCCCGAGGACTAGCGCTCGTAACCCTGCGCCAGAGGTCCAGGACCAGATCATCTTACCGAGGAGCCCCATTCTTCCCTCGAGCAAGTCAAAACGTCACCGCCAGGGCTGTTATCCTCTGTAGCATCGTCGAGCTGGAGGACCCCGAGGCGCGATTCAGCCACCGCAACCTACGCTGCCTCCTTGGGACTTGCAGATGTATAGTAGGCCGAGACTAAAGGACGAAGACAGCAACGTGATCACCAACTCTTGGAACATCGAACAGCTACGTCATTTCTATCCTTAGCGTAAATTTTTTCTTAGTTCGTAGCTAAAATTGCTCCGACAGCCTCTCCTTATCGTTCGAAACTCAACCCCAAAAATGGCCCATGCCAACGTGGTACGGACCCCCTTCGGGGCGGGGGAGAGGGGGGGAGGAGACCTGGGTTAGGGACCTGCATAGTCTATCGGGTAAAAGTATGGAAAGAATAAGCGGGTGTACACCCCATTTCAATGCCATATGAAAACCCAAAGTGCGGAAGCCCAAACCTGGGAGGGCAATGTTTTACAAAACTTATGAATTTAAAAGTTGAAAATTCGAAATGCCTAGAAACCCCTAACTCCTGTCCTCAAGGTGAAGGCCCAGATGATCACGGTGGACGACCTCGACGAGGACTTGCCCGGCAAGCCGACTCGCATGGGGAGCCACTAGGTCGCACACTTGGTCGACCTCCTCTATTGAACGATTCGGCGCGTATGCCTTTGCCACTAGCTCCCAATCCACCCCTTCGTAGTGGGTGCCGACCGAGGAGAGGGCGGTGTGGATGCCAAAGTAGACGCCGTTGGAGATCAGCGTCGCTACCTGATCGGGGACGCCCGCCAGTCGTGAGCGCACAGAGTTGGCGCCAGGGACCTCACCGAAGATGTAGTTGCACACGACCTGTGCAACATTCTTCATTTGATCGATGTCCCCGAGCGCCTCGAACGTCTGCTTGTTCTAGGACGGTCTTCTCCTCAACGGCCTTCCCGAGCGCCTCTTGCAACTCTACAAAAAGAGAAAACTTTGGTCATCCACCGCGAGGGCAAGAAAATGAGTCGAATAGACCAAGCACTTACGTGCGGCTGAATCCTGTAGATCCTTCAGCTGGCTCTCCGCAGCATTCCGCCTCGGACGGCCGACTCCATAGCCGTTCTCAAGTCGGAGACATCGGTGGAGAGGGTCGCCGCCACACCTTCGCGGCTTCGACTGCACGTGACGATCGGAGCACTTGCTCCTCGACGGTCACTCGAGCCGCATCCGCGGTCTGTCGAGCAGCCTCCGTGATGTAGACAAGGCCCGATCTTCTAAAAGGTATGATAGCGTCGATTGGTGAAGACTCGACGTTCACGATCTAGGCTTTGAACCAAGACTGATTCGGACCCTCGCAACCGTTACACCACTGCTCCGTTAGTTATCAACCACGCGAACGCGATTGACCTCGTCGAGAAGGCTTTCCTGCAAGCAAATCGAGAACACAAGCAAGAACGGGATGAACGCAATCTGAAATTGCAAATAAATATGAGGCTTATGATAACGAAAAGGAGTTCAAGTCTTTATTTGAAAGGACTAATCGCCACAGGCGAACAAGATCAAGAACCGGGGCTCTGGTTCACAGCAAGCGGCCTTGGCGGTACAGTTGCAGCAAAATGACGTCTGTTTCACGAGGAAATCAAGAACTAAACAAAACCCCCAAACCCTAAGGAGAGCGACGGCTGCTAATTATAGAGCCCCGGACGTCACCCCTGGATGCCCCCTAATGGGCTCTAAAGACGATACACGGTCCAACGGACCAAAAGATGGTGTCGCAGCACCCTAACAGATTCTGGATGCTGACTTGTTTCGATGATTTTCGTTGATTCCGAAGGGCTTTTGACGTGAGACCACTTGCATTGGCTTTCTTATCTAATTAGCTTTCCATCCATATGTGGATCGTTGAAAACGGAGCCCGGACGCGCCCGTATGACCAGTTTTATGACAGACTGGTCTTGGAACCCGAGATAGACTCGAACTTGATTTGGGCCTCAACCTTGGTGACCCGAATCGGATGAGCTTCGGGCCTCCATCTCGGTTAGGACACCCTCGCTGATCTCGTCCTCTATCTCTAAGCATGGTCGTATGCATGGAGCTCATGTCCTTATCACTCTGCGACCTTAGTGTCTTGGGTGGCCTCACCCGCATGGCGCTTGGCCTCCTGACGGGCCGACTCGGCCTCTGTCAGAAGGCGCTAGACCTCCTAGATCAACTCCGCCCATCGCCATGCCTCGTCAGCCGCCTTCACGTCCTGGGTGACTCGGGTCACGTGCGCCTCGGCTTCGTTCGATCGATCATGACCTCATGATGCAGGGCCTCGAGCTCTTGGACCTCGCTCCTCTGGGCGGCCCTAAGCGCGGCCACCTCTTGCTCGGAGGTGTTCTGGGCGTTCTGGACTGCCGTCAGTTGCCAGCGCAGCTTCGCCTCATCATGACCCTGCGAGTGGAGCTCTCGGAGGAAGTGGGACTTGGCCCTGGACTGCTCCATTAACTCCTGCAAAGACAAGTTCGACGTCAATCGGACCCCACTCGATGGGCTACCACATCAACCGGATGTGGGGAAATCCATACTTGACCAAGGGGCATTAGCCCTTCACCCAACGCCCGAAGAGCCTGGTCGACCGCCTGGAGCCCTCGGACGAAGTTCGACCGGCCCCCTCCAGCTTGGTGAAGGCAGACCCACCTTGGGAGAGCACACTTTCCAAGGAGGCTGCCTTGGCCCCTTCATTCAGCACCAACCGGGCCTTGGTCAGGTCCTCCGGGAATTGTGGGTGCCTCCACACCAACGGCGCTGGCTACGCCGATTGCAGCCGGGATGTGCTAGTGAGCCGAGCCAACGTCCACCCAGGTGAAGAGCTGCTGCCGCCAGTTGGGGAAGCTCCGGCCGTTGATCCTAGGCCCACCATGCTGGTGACGACGACCTCGGTTGCCGGGGCCACCTCCGCTTCGACCTGCTCCATCTCGCCCAAATCTCTACTCCCTCGCTCCCCGCGTCGACGTTGACAATCCGAGCGGGTGAGCTCGGAGGGGGTTGGAACTCGTTCGCTAGACGCTCGGGGGAGGTGAAGACGCGAGACTCATCTCCTACAGGATGGTTGGACGAGGCCTCCTGGAATCCGGCAAGCGGGCCCGGCCGCTCGTGCTCGGCCACCATCTCCACCACCATCTCTCGCTCGCCGACTGGTTCGTTAAAGCGGTGGCGGAGGAGAGGCAGGGGCTGGGTCGACGGTTGGAGGTGGCGAAGATGTCGGTGTAGGGTCGACGTCCGGGCGGTGAAGGCACCGAGGTCGACTCGATGATGGGCGGTGGCGGTAGATTGACACGGGCGGGCACCCTAGCGGCACCTTGGGTGGGCGCCCCAACGGCCACAGTCATGATCGAGGTGGTGATTGGAAGTGCCTCGATCCCCGTGACAGGCGATGGCGGCAGAAAGTGGCCTAGCCCACCGAAGGCCCACCACAAAGGGGTCGGCTCCGAGCGCCCCCTTTCACAGGGCCTAGTCCCGACTTCTAGTGGTTGGCTCCAACCCATCGCTCACAAGAGATAAAGTGCCAACCCCGCCCAACGGGTCGGGTCGACTCCAATAATTGGAGTCGATCGTGCCGACCCAAACGCCCATAGCCTCGAAGACGATAAAATGCACAGCCCATCGCCGTACGATGGGTAGGAGGATGATCGACAGCCATCCCGCCTAAAAAACCGCGCACAATACGTCGTCCATCGGTATGGTGCAGGGTATGGGAGGCCTTGTGTCAACTGCCCCCCGAAAGACGTTGCCACAGTGAGCATCGCACCTACCAGCATGGGGAAGTACGCGCCCATACTCCCCGGAGCCTTAGCATGGCCTGATTCGACCGCCAGTCGCATCAGGACGTGCCCGAGACGTGCTCCCGGGCGTGCGCCTCCACGCCGTAGTGGTTGAAGTGGTTCGGGTCCCACCCTGGGGCCACTGCTTTTGTCCTGTAGCAAATCCGACCCCAAGGGAACGTGCGAGGCGGAAATCTCGCCCTGGGGGCCGGGCGAGACGGAATCCGACCCTCGGGGGTTGGACGAGGCGGAGCCCTCCCCCTGGGATCGGAGGAGTCGAAGCCCACGTCTTGGGGTAGGCGAGGCAGAAACCTCGTCCTCGAAGTCGGAGCCCACGCCTTGGGGTAGGATGAGGCGGAAACCTCGTCCTCGGAGTTAGAGCCCACGCCTTCGGGTCCGACGAGGCGGAAACCTCGTCCCCGGAGTTGGACGAGGTGTGGCCCGGCCCCTGGGGGTCGGACGAGGCCGCAGTTGCGTACTTAACCATCGGATGAGCCGACGTGACGCTCATTAATCCTTTGGCTCGGATACTCGGGTTTAGATATCTGACACAATGGGAGGAGGCGGCAGTAAGGTGGTGGGGTTGAAGGAAGGATGGATGCGTGATCTGATGGATGAGGTTGCAAGCACTAATCTTAAACACCGGAAGTTTGGTAAGAAAAAACTTGAAAAAAGTCCAAACTACTCCCTTCAAGTATAGCAAAAGTCCATATAACCCCTAAACTATGTTTTGGTTTAATTTAATTTACCCCCTAGACTATACTATTTAGTTCAACTTACCCCATAATGTAAATTTTCATTTTTATTTATCCATACACAAGTTGAATTTTAATTTGAGACTTTGCAGGGTGATATTGGACATCATAATCTATAGTAAAAAAATATTTCATGAATTTTTTATCATTAGATTTTATATAATTTTGTATATGAAGGATAAATTTTATTATTAAATATCCTACCCTATCAAAATAATGTAAAAATTCATAATATATTTTTTTAACATGTCTTATGATGTCTACTACCATATGGCAAAATTTTAACTTAAAACTCCATTTGTGCTTGGCGAAATAAAAAAAAAGACAAATTGCGTTAAGGTGTAAATTGAACCAAATGGTATAGTTTTGGGGTAAACTGAACCAAGAAATACTCTAGGGGTTATCCAGACTTTGGTTATACTTCAGGGGAGTAATTTGAATTTTTTCAAAAAAAAAAAACTTTGAGAAGTTATATAGGGACACTTAGCAGGCCTGGTTTTCGAATCGAACTTCTCATATTGGCGTATACAGAATATATCAGGTGTTGGCAGCAATTGGTTAAAACTTAAAACTGCGCCATACACGTTCCCTGATTTTCCCGAAGACGACGAACATAAGATATATCGATGGATATTTCCGATTACCCAAAAGGTGTCCCAAAAATCTCAGGGTGTGAATATAATAATTTCCAACAAATTAAGATAACTTGGAGATAATAACCTAATATAGTTCTAAGCTTTGCTTGGTCCCTTCCATAAAAACTGTACGGATCTTAATAAAGCAGCAAAGTAATTCGTCTAACTTCACGTGAAACGACTGCGTTCTGCAGTCACGCCATCTGTGCCGTCAACTCAGGATCGGACGTCTGCGAGCATTGGCCACCCATTTATGCGCTCACGATCTGCTGGTCCGGCCCAACTACAGCCCACGCTCTCCACAGCTCGTCGAGTCCCGGCCTTAGGTTCACTCGCCTGCTGCGCCGCCGGCGTCTAGCACCTCGCCGCCGCCGCTAGCATCCGTACGCCGCGGCACCACTTGTTGCTGAGTGCTCGCTTCCGTGGTCCGCGTCGTCTAGCGCCGTGCCTCCGCTCATGGCTAAGTGCTCTCCTCCGTGGTCCGCGCTGTTCTTCGCCTCCGACTGCTCCGCGTGGAGGTACACGATGCAGCAGCAGTTCGCGTAGGTACAGATGCAGCACCACCAGCGCTACATCCTTCTCCACATGCTTCTGGATTCCAAGGGAAGGGCAGCCGTGGTTTCGCAGTTCTGCTCGTCAGGCTGTTCGAGACACAACAATGTAAATAGCAGAGCTGAAACTTCAGAACAGAGTTGTTAGATAGGATTGTGAGACTGTAAAGTGATACTGTGACTAGAAATTTGAGAATGTGATCACTGAATTGCCCAAGTGAATGACTGGATGTACATATTGTTGGCATAATGATCATGTCTTGTTTGCAAAAGAGTTTCGATGCTGTCATTTCAGTTGGCCGTGCCACCGACCATTCTCTGCACAGCCTGTTTGTAATCTCTAGGGCTATGCGAGTGAGGATGAGGACTGCACGGCAAGGTCATCAAGAGCGTCGAAAGGTGCTGCAGCTTCCCTCGGCGTCGTTGCTACATGTCAGGGGCATCAACTGTGGACTCGGCTCCAGCAGTTGCGACAGCGGCGAGCCAGACCAGCGTGCGGACGACGGGCAGCATCAGAGAACCAACACTGGAGGCGAACATGGCGGTCCTGATGCTCCTGCCCTGCCCCTGCCCGCCGCCGCCCCATCCATCCTGCTGGACCTGTGGCCCTGTGCGAACTCGGGGAGGCAGTGGAAGGGCAGCAGCACGAGCGCGGTGTCCGCTCCGAACATGAAGGCGACGGAGCTCACGTCGCTCGACGTCGTCGACGAGGAAGGCGGCAGCTCAGGGTCGCTCGACAAGGATGACGGCGGCGGAGGGAAAGGAACCTGACTGAGTTTAGTTGGGTCGTTGGGCTTGTTGGGCTAGAATTCGTGCAGCCTACTACCTGAGTTTAGAAGCTGCCGTTGGATGCGAGCGGACGGTGGGATGCGTTGACTGCCGACTGTAGTCGATGAGGCCGACTGCAGGGGTTCTGAATCGGACGCAGATTCAGTGACTTTGCTTCGGAAAGTCACGTTGTAACTTTCCCTATGCTATCCAACGTCCAATCAAGATCCAACGAGGGAGATGGATTCAAGGCCTGTGACCTGTTTCTTCTTTCATGCGAACGTCCCGGCCGTGCTACTGGATTGAAGACTCGAAAGCTCCATTCGTCGCACCAAACCTCCGCGGCTCCGCGTGCACCTCACCGGCCAGCCAGCGGCCACGTATTCGCTCGAACTCTGAGTCTCCGAGAGTATTGGACGAAGCCATCGGCCACTCAGCATCCATATGCTTCGCGATGACCTCATCCCCTCGCACAGGAGCGCAACCATGATGGCACCGGTGGTCAGGCCGGCCTGGGCTGGGCCGGCCCGGCGGGACGCCCCACCAGCGAAGGATGTCCAACAACGCGAGAACGTTGTAGGAGCAGAGCAGAGCACGACATCGTAGCTTGCCACACCGCAGTTCTCCTGCACCTCGCTGCCATCCGCGCCTCCCCGGAGGGCCCGGAAGTGCCACGTTGAGGCACCGCTCCGCTCCGAAGGAGACCCATCGTTGCCACGCTGGCCGCCCCACTCGCCATACACTCGCCGCATCCCGTGCCCACGACGGCTGCTCGCTCGCCGCGCCCTGTGCCGACGCCGACCGGTCGCTCGCCACGCTGGCCGTGCACGCACACAGCGCTGGCCGCCAGGCGTGAGCTCGCCACGCCGGCCGCGCATGCCGCAGACCTGCAGGGAGGAGGCCCGGACGACCACAGAGGACCTGGTTCGGTACATTATGACGTTGAGCAACAGGAAGAGCAGGAGGTCGGTCTCTAGCCCTGCTGGCGCGGCTGCCGCAGTGACGACTCGGGCGCGTGGTCCAGTATCGCTCTTCCAGCTGGTGACTGCCACACCGTGATGTCGCAGGCATCTCGCATCGTGCCGCGCTGCCGCAGGCGTCCAGCGCCTCCGGTGCCTCGCGCCGACCCACTACTGGCCTGCAGTACCGAACCGCCGCCGGCATCTCGCATCGCATGGCGTGGCGTCGCGCCGCTGCAGGCCTCCCGCGCCGAGCTCCCTCGTGCGTCGCCGCCGGCGAGCCCGCTCTCGCTGAACGTGAAGTTGTGAACAACCAGTAGTCGAGCTTCAACTTCTGCACATGGCCGCCGCCGGCGCCGTTGGAGCCTGACTCCCCATTCCCCAACCTTACGTGCTGCTCCTCCTCCGCCTGCCACCAGACTACTAGAGCCGAAGGGAAGAGCGACGAGTGACTGACAGATTGTCCCAAGAGCTGAGAGAAAGTA